CACTGATTTTGTTATTTGGAGACAGAGTCACAGGGAGTGCAGATGCTCAGCAGAGACCCCAGCCTCACGGCCTGTGAAGCCTGAAAGCAGTGTTTACACTGATGTCCGGTGGCCTCCTGGGGCAGTGATGGAGTCATAAAAGGAGAGAAGGTGACCGCCAGGCAAAGCCATGACTGCAAAGATTGGGGTCTTCAGGGTGGAGTCCAAGTGGGGGGATCAAGGCTGGAAAGCCTGGGGAAGTGAGCCCAGGGCTTTGAGCCTCATCCAGAGGGACGCCCTGGGTGGCTTTCTGACAGCAGGGGTGAGCTGATCATATGAGCATCAGCCCCTCTAGAGTAAAGGAGGAACGTGAGGGCACAGGACAGAGGCAAGGGGTGGCTGGGGGACCTTTTGCACCAGACCCAGCTGTGTCCTGAGCAGACCACGGTGAGACTGAGGGGAGGGAAGGGATGGACAGACATGACCTGGACAGGCTGGACCGTCATCAAGAACAACAGGACAAGTGAGGCCAACACCCTTCACCTGCCTGTCATGGCCACCTGGGGATGGCAAGGCCAGCTAGAGGTAGGGTGCAGACCCTGAAGGCCCCTGGGCTGCACTGCCCACCTCAGGGAGGACCTGGGCAGGAGACAGCATGAAGCAGAGTGAGGAAGCAGATCTATGTGGGCCAAAATAACAAAAAAGAGAAGGCCCAGAGAGCCCCCACTGACTCAGGCACATGGGGGTGCGGGACAATGGGAGGCGGACGAGCAGATCCCTTTGGAACTGCTCACTTTTGCTTACCTGTGCTTTCTAAAACTTTTCTCCAGTGAACATATTTTTTAAAAAAGAAAAATCAATCAAAAGCTATTTTCCAAGGGAAAACATGTCGTAGTCAGTGAAAAGGGGACAAGCGATGAGTGGGAAGGGCAGCAGGAACACAGGCGTCCTCACACAATGACCCAGGCTGGCCCAGACAAGGACACACATCCCCGCTGGACTCCCAGCCCCCCACATCCTCCCCGCCCCACAGCAGCACGGACACAAGTCTGTTCCGTTGGCCACAAGGTTCAGCCCTGCGTCAGGCTCACAACCTGCATCTCTGATTCCTGTGTCTTCTACCAAAATCTGTGGACAATATCCGTGTCCATGACGGGGCCAAAGAGGGACAGGAGGGCTCCCAAGAGGAGAGACAGCCTCTTCTGCAGGCCGGCCCTTGGCGCCCTGTTCTCCCTTTCACATACAACCAAGCGTTCCCCACCTTCAGTCTGGAAACTGGGACTCCTGTAAATCATGCAATTCGTCCCAACAGCAGAGCCAGGGAGCAGCAGGACCAGGCTGCAAAGCTGCTTGGGTACCAGGTAGGCTTCCAGGTGGGCTCCTCACAGAGCCCCCTGGCTCAGATGTGAGCCTCAGCACTCTATGAGCGGCGGGATGTGAGGAAAGGTGAGCCCCAGGTCTCTGTCTACAGAGTGGCTCCTTAGTACCTCCTGCCTCCTGCTACTCCTGGAGGGCCACGTGGGGACTTCACGGGGGAGACCTGGAGCAGCCATGTCCAACAGCGGGGCCCCCCAGGGCTTGCTCCTGCCTCCTTCTCACTGCTCCACACTCCCATGTCCTCTAGATCCTCAGTGCAAAGACACACTTAAGGGTTGGATCTGGAATGTTCCCAAAAGCCTTGTGTATACAGAGGCGGGGCTCCTGGAAGTTGGTTAGATCACAGGAGTGCTGACCAACCCACCGATGACTTCTTAACGGTTCGGGCTGTCAGCAGGACCTAGTTGGAGAGGTAGGTAGCCAGGAGTGGACAACATCACTGGACTTTTCTTTTCAGTCTGCCTCCTGGCTACCATGATGTGGGCAGCTTTCCCCTCCCACACCCTTCTGCCATGATGTTTCTGCTTTGGAGCAGCCGACCATGGACTGAATCCCTGAACTCATGAGCCAAAGTAAACTTCTCCTCGTTTAAATTGTGCATGTCAGGTATTTTATCCCAGCAACATAAAAGCTAACTGATGCATAGTCCCAGCCTTGAGAATCTTCAGGGCACATTGCTGACCAGTTTTCTGATCCAGGGTTCAAGATCAAAGCTCGTGTATATAGAGAGAGTGGTCAGAAGACTCTATCAGTAAGGATCTTGTCTTGGTTACTTTTCTCTCATTGCTGAGACAAAATACCTAACACCCAAAATTAAGGAAGGAAAGGTTTATCTAGTTCACAGTTTGGGAAGTTTCAATCCATAATCTTCTGTGTCCAAGGCAGCGTGGCTCCATGGCAGAGGGCACCAGTTCATGGCAGCAGAAGACAGCACAAGCAACAAGCACCAAAAGGGAGGAGCACAAGAAAAGGCGCTTCCTGTCCCTTATATCGTCTATACGCCACCGACCCACGGTGCTCTCCTCAAAGCAAAGTCTCACACTGTTGCACTTTGGAGACTGCAGAGGGTGGAGACACGGTGCTTCTTGTGGTGGCTCAGGCTTCCTCCATGCAGTGTCTGCCCTGAAGCCAATTCACCATGGACTAAATCTACTTCTCCTCCTCTAATCTGTGGGTGCAGAGTACTTTGTTCCAACAGTGAGAAGGTGGGTCATACCCCTTACATGAAAAGAAGACATTCTCCTTCACTAAAAGATAGTTCGGCCAGCATCCATTATGAGAGTGAAGCCCAGAGATGACATCTGCTATGTTAGATGACAAGTGACCTGAAGAAGGGTGATCGCTTTTTCTTCATGTTATGAGGCAGCAGGAAGATCCTCATCAGATGCTCAGAGGATGCTGGGGCATGCAGTTGGATTTCCCAGCCTCCAAAATCACAAACCAAATAAGCTTCTGCTCTTTGTAAATTACCTAGACTCAGAAAATAGGCTAAGTCAGTGAACAAGAACTAGTTAGGCCAACATCAAGGATAAAAAGAGGCCAAGCTTGGAAGATGGAAGGCTTTTTAAAAAAGATTTTTTTCTGGAGAAAGTTTGGAATGTGCCATGGCTGGAAGCAAAATAGTGTGTGCTGGGAGTAGGGGGTGTTTATCTCCAGCCGAAAGACCTACTTCTGTGTGTGCCCTAGGATTGGAATACCTGGAGTACCGACATGTAGCATTTGTGTGAAGAGCCCATGCTGAGAAGTCGTAGGCTGTGGACAGAGACATGAAGCCTGGGGATGATGGGTATGAGGTCCACCTCCGCCCATGGAGTTGGTGATTCCCGTGGGCCCCCTAGGAGAGGAGTGAATCTGACAGCTTGCTCAGGGGTCCTCTGGAAAGACACTGAGATCACCACCAAGGCAGTCTGGGGAAGTGCGCCTCTGACCACCAGGGCCCAGGGCTGAGCCCACCTTAGGCGGGAACGCACGGTGCAAGTGAAGGCTGGCCCCGGAACTGCAGCAACCCTACAAGGAGCCCAGTGGTGCAAAGGTGAAGCTACCAGATATCACTTGGTCAAGTGCTGCTTGTCCAAAGTCTTGGTTCCACCCTGGCCAACACCTGAGAGACAGTGGCCACTGGTCAGATGCTATTCAATTATCTCCAAAGACAGAACATCGAGAAGAATCCACACAGGAATCAGGCAGCAAAGCGCTGAGAGGACTGACTCTTGGCAGAGACCTCGGTCTACACAAGCCTCACAGAGCAGTTAGGGGATGACATAAGCCCTTAAACCCGAGGTCAGCAGGAGGGCCTGGAGCCCCCCGCCCCTCCTACCTCTGGTTTATAAAGGCTCAGCCAGGCCCAGTCTGTGCTGCAAATGCGACCTCGCCTACATCAGTCAGAGTTTGATCCGAGAAAAGGAAGCACCAGGAAGAGACCGAGCATGCAAAGGCGTCACAGAGAGGACCTCATGCCACAGCAGGTGCTTCTGTCTTCGCATGTGGGGCTGGAGCTTGGGGTCTGCGGGCAGCAGTCAGACTGGGAGAGCCGAACACCATGTCCTGACACAGGATGCGACCACCCGGACAGTGGAAGGCAAGGTAAGTGGCCCATCTACCTTGCAGGAAGAGGCAGGCAGTGTTCTATTTGGGCGCATACCTGATGTGCTTCCTGTAAAGCTTCCAATGCCAGAATCCTTCATGAATGAAGCTTTATGGCAAAAGCATTCACATCCTCATCCTTCAGGTCCAAATTCGCTGCCCATCATTAGTGGACACCTGTTAATCTACTGCTGCCTGGGGCCCAGGGGAACCAATCCAGGACAGAGAGGACTCGGGTGAAAAGCAGGCAGAAGAGTTTCCTATGAGCTTCACGTTTCCTGAGCCTGTTCACACGCCCAGTGCATTTCACAGGAGCCCCTGATCTCCTGCGGGTGACACAGTCAGGCATTACATCCCTGGCGTGGAGGTGAAGTGAGGCCCACACCGCCCTTCTAGGCCTCTGTGTCCTGACTCAGGGTAGGAGGTGGCCAAGACCCAGGTGCCCAGCGGCAGGGACGCCTTCACCCACTGCACCTCACCTCCCAGTCCTGCACAGCAGGCAAGAAGACAGGCCCTGGAGCGGGACTTCCTCCTCCACCAGCCCCTCCCAGGGCCTCTGCACCCCTGCGCCGAGTCTAGCCTCACACACCAGCTTCCCAGCCCTGTGTCACCAGCTCTGTGGATGGACCCCTTGAGCCCTGAACATCCTAATGAATGATAGATGATGGATGGAAGGGAGAGGGAGGAAAGGAGGGAGGAAGGGAGGTTGCGAGGGGCAGAGGATGTCACAGTGTGGAGTCAAGGCCTTAGCATATGTCTTGGTGCATTTGAGCTACTGTAGCAGAATCCCTTAGTCTGCATATATATTTGATAAATGATAGACATTTATCTCTCACAGTTCTGGAGGTGGGAAAATCCATGGTCAAGGGGCTGGCAGATTCAGGGTCTGGTGAGGGTTGTGGTCCATTTTAAATGCATACCCTGGTGCTATATTTTTCAGAGAAAGAATACTGACCTCACCTTCAGGAAGATCACCCCCTGAGTACTTTTTTATTTTATTTTAAAGAGGATAAAACCAAGAAAAATAAAAAAGAATAAAATCAATCAAAATAAACCAGAATAAGTGATACAGGACTTCCAAACCTTATGAAATCAACAATAGTTACCACAAGGCCTTTGTTGTCTTCAGAATAGCTCAGATATCACCTTCAGACATAGTAAAAATCAAACAGAACAGAATAGAATAGAAAAAATAAAAACAAAACAATGGATGCAATAAAGGACATCAAAACAAGCCAGTAGTAAATATATAACAGCTTCCATAACATGCCTTGCTATCTTTTAAATAGCTGCTCATGCCATCAGACTTAACATAAACAAATCAAAAGAAAATAAATATCCAACCCAACAAAACAAGGATGGTTTCTGGGCGGGGATCTCCTTCCATGGGGCCTGGTTCTCTCCCTCTGCAGTCCTAGGATGGTGCTGACTCCACCCCCTGAGTATTTTCAGGGCCCTCAAAGTCCAGTCACTTCCTCCAGGCCCGTCTCTTAACGCAGTGGCACCAGGAATTAAATTGCAACATGGTTTTTAAAGGGACATGGTCATACCTGCACAGCATCCAGCTAGAAACGAGTAGACCAAGTATGACATTAAAAGCAAGAGATGATTTCTTCTGCCTCTACCTCAGTCTCACAGAAAACAAACAAAATTGGAGCCATAGATACAGAAGGGATCCCGATGGGATGCCTGAGGCTCCACACAGTTACCTACAGTGAGAGTTCAAAGAAGCTCAGAGGCCCGGCTTGGTAGGATGGGATCAGCTTGAGACTGAACTTTTCACAAACACTCTTTTGTTCCACAGATGACTGGGTCATCCCAGGACTCCTCAGCGGCAGAATATTCTCTTTGTCTTTCTTTTGCACCCATGTTGCCATATTGCTGGGTGGGTTAGACTAATACCCTCAGTAACAGTAAAGTTCTAGATGGATACCCCAGTAGGGGTTTTGGTAGATGGGTGGATGGGTAGATGGGTAGGTAGATGGGTGCATGGATGGATGGATGGATGGATGGATGAATGGGTGGATGAATGGATGGATGGATGGATGGATGGATGGATGGGTGGGTGGATGGATGGGTGGATGGAGGGTGGGTGGATGGATGGATAGATGGATGGGTAGATGGATGGATGGGTGGTGGATGGGTGGATGGATGGATGGGTAGGTGGATGGATGGGTGGATAGATGGATGGGTGGGTGGATGGATGGATGGATGAGTCAGTGAATAGACAGAAGAGTGGATGAATGGAGGAATAATGTGTGAATGGATAGAAGGGTTGATGAAAATGGATGGGTGGGTGATAGATGGGTAAATAGATGGGCTGATGGCTGGAAAATGGATGGATGGGTAGGAAGGCAGAGAGTTGTATGAATGATAGATGGTGGCTGGATATGGATAGGTGGATTCTTTTCTGGGCCACACCTAAGCGTGTTTCTGTGGGTCACCTGGGATGAAGATGGATGGGGAACACACACAATCATTTTGGAGGTAGACGCCTACTGTCTCTATGTTAATCTTGAAAGGTTCACTCTTCACTGCAAATCTGGAAGGAACAGACAAATGGTGATGGAGTCAAGGACTGCTTTCCCTTCTTTCAGGGCTGTCTCCCCCATGGCATGGACCCCAGCAGGTTCCCAGGCCATCACAGCTGCCAAAAGACAGGGCACTTGGGCATTGAAAGACATGACTCGGGATGGCCTAATTGATTCCATCTTGCATTCTCAATCAAGCCAAAAGACAAACAGACTTGAGCTCTCCACTCTCCCTCCTCCCACAGTGCAAATTGGCCTTATTTTAACGTGAGAAGCACGCCGCAGCCTACACAGCCTCCTTGTGCTACAGGAGGGGCTGATGGTTTCCTTATGTGCCCCTTCAGGCTAAGCCAACCCAGTGGAGGAGGGTAGGGACTCCTGCTGACCCCGACACGGAGGGTGCTGGGGTCCGGGCGGTCACAGGGCTCCTGAAGGGAGATGAGCAGGTGTGTCAGCCAGCCAGGGCCTCTGAGTGCAGCAGCTGCCAAACCTGGCAATTACACCACACAGTTTCCCTGATTAAACAGTATTTAAACATCTGCTACTTAAACGACACTTAAAAAGTAATAAATTAAAGGAAGAGGCAAGGGAACAGACCTGGAGAGTGAGCAGGGGACTGAGGTCTGTGTGCGTGGAGAAGCCGTGCTTTCCCGTTTGTGAATGATCCTTTGACAAGTTAGGTACGGACTCAGGTGTCCAGGATGTAAAATAAATCTGAATTAGCTTAATGAGACTTGGGCAGCAGTCCATAGAGTCACTGAACAGCCGGCCCTCTTGCTTCTCACCGGTCTATGTCTGCTGTGAGTGGACCTGTGGGACAGGACAGCCGTGGCCAGGCAGGGTGGGAAGCAAAGCCCCCGGCCAGGCCTGGGCCACGCTGGGCTGGGCTGGGCTGCACTGGAAGTGGGTCAGGCATTGAACACCGCATGTACAGAAGATCATTTTATTGGGCTTGGTTTCTTTCAGAAAGGATTTGTTGGTTTCCTGTGATTGAATGGGAAAGAATTTTAGTAATGATTACTGATAATTAGCAGTAGCTCTCTTTGCTGCTTTGCATATTGGCATTCGGTTCCTTCTCCTTTAGAAATCGGACAACATGACGTTGTAGCCTTAGTCTTACCAGGAAGAGTCTACAGTGCCCTCGCCAGGTCTTCAGTCCCCTAAAGGTAACCTTGGCCTGAAAATAACAAGTTGTAAATTGCAGAAATTAACAATCCACAAGTTTTAAGTTGTGTTCCCATCTGAGGAGCGTGAGGCAATCTCACACCTCCCATTCCATGCTGCCTGGATAGTAAACCATCTTCTGCCCTCTGTATCCAAGCAGCAAACACTCTCCGCTCATCGGGACCGCCTTGGGTACCAACTGAGCAGTGACACTACAGGGCTTGCATTTGAGTCATCGCATGCATACTTACTAGTGACCCCAAAGTGACAGAGTAGCCATGCTGACTTTTTATTTAAAGCAAAAAGAAAAAAATTAAAAACCCATGTGCAGAGATTGCTAACATGTTTGGCGAATCTCTCCTTGAAACCACAAAGACAAAAGACACTTGTGCTAGTTTTGCTGTTGGGCCTCAAACTGTAAAAGCACAGTCACTGTGTGTCTCAGTTACTTTTCTCTAGTTGCTGGGACAAAATACCCAACACCCAAAACTAAAGAAGAAAAGGTTTATTTTTCTCACAGTTTGTGGAGGTTTCAATCCATAATCAGCAGGCTCCAAAGCAGGGTGGCAGGGCACAGGGGCAACACTTCAAGGCAGCAGGACACAGAAAAAGCAACAAAAGCTCAGAAAGGGAGAGAGCAAGCTCTTTTCCTTATATTTATGCAGGCCACACCCCCCTCCCAGAGCAGGTGCAGCTCTCACACCACCTCCCTGCCCTCCTCTTGCACAGGATGAGGATGTGTACAAAGTGAGGACCCTGGCCCCTTGCTGGGTCGCTTAAACTTCTAAACTTCTCATTCTCTGGTTTCTCTTCAGATTGTGTAGATCTTTGGCCTTTTACTAAACTTCTCAAGTTGACACAATGTATCGATCACTGCACTTGGTGACAAGTGTTTAGTTAAGGCGGAAGGGAATTTGGTTAGGGAGTCACCTACCAGCTGCAGTTCTGGGCAGCCACTGGGAGTCTGAGGACACAGGAGAAGGAGGGGCTGAGATAGCCTATCACACCTGCTGCAAAAGGAAAAGGTCATTCAGAATCTAAGAGTTGAGTCACAGCGTCATCTATAAACAGAAAGAGTGGAAACCCACCCAGACGGGACCCTGGGCCTGCATCTGCCCGCTGCTCTGTAGCAGCGCGATTCCACGGCCTCCCCTGCGACCCCTTCCACCTCACCGCCCACACCCCACTCCGGGCGGTAGAACGGCGCCCTCAGAGGTCACTCTTCGAGCGGTGATTGCTTCAGCGCATAGCTCCGAAGCGGGAAAACCTGTGGTTGCACCGTGGAGACTGCGCGGCCGCGGACGAGGCTGGGTTAGGGTTTGTGTATGGAGCACCTGAGCCTCTGTACCAGGGCAGAGTGCTCTTGGCAGCCTCGCCCTTTCCGGGTCTGGGCAAAAGCCCCTCTCCTTGGTCTCTGCTGCAGCTGCAGGCTCCCCCCCCCCCGCCCCCCGGCTCTGCTAGATGGGTGCCACCCACCCAGATGGGACAGAAGCCCGGGGTCCAGGCAGGAGCTGGTGGCTCAGAAGCAGGCAGCCGGGGGTAGACTCCGGCTCCACCCCTCACAGGGGAACGACCTGGGGAGGGTCCTCTCCTCTTTCTCTTTTCATAAAAGTAAAAACTGGCACCAGGGCATCGTGACACGGCTGCCGGGGCACCGCTGTGCCCACAGCTGTACGTGCTGCTGCCGTTCAGTCCCCGTGGTCTCACAGTTACAGACTTAATAAAAAACAAGAACAACCTAGGGACAAAAATTCTGGCACGAGGCTTCGGTATTATTTTCACAAATGCAGTCGTTTCTGACAACCGAAGCCTCCTTTTAAGTAACTTTTGTGGTACTTACAAATAAGCATGTTCTTTTTTTAAAAAAATTCAGATTACAATACAATACAATATGAAGCACTGTTCATAACATTATTTCCTGTGAGTGGGTTCCCAGGACTTGAATTACACCATTGAAGACTAGCAACTCTTCCGAGGCTCTCCATACATCCAGGGGCATTTTTTGAGAAAAACCTCTCAATTTATGATGCCACCACTAGGGGCTGGGAATATTGATCACCCAGCCCCTAAGTGTGATCATCTGTTCCAACCCTGGCCTAATTTCATTTCTGGATCACTATAAAAGCTGAAGTCTTTATGTTAAGGGCCATGTGTGTTTCCTACTGTGCACTGTGTATTTATCAGGAAAGCGCTGAATGACAAATCATAGAAAATCAGACTTAGAATGATGAAAGAGAGAGAGAGAGAGAGAGAGAGAGAGAGAGAGAGAGAGAGAGAGAGAGAGATTCAGGTCCAGGGAGCTTGCGTTTAAATTCTAAACAGCGCAAGAGTTTCATGACAGTTTTTTCCACCCATTTTGTGGCCTGAGACTGACTCCTGCAGGCAAGAAGGGTGCCAAGGAGCCAGCACCACATCTTTCTCCAAGTCAGGAAGGAGAGTGAGGTGGCTGTGCCTGTCCTTCCTTCAAACACGCCCCACGAACATGTCCACTCCTGTACCCTTAACTAGGACTATGCTATGGGGCCTCCTCACTGCACAAAAGGCTGAAAAAGAGGGCTCATTTTCTAACCTCTGCAACAGAGGAGCAGGAAAGACAGAGGCCTGGAAATGCAGGTTGGATTGCATAGTTGTGGTCCTGTTTTCTGTATGTCTTTATCATGATTGCCTTCCTCAAAACCTGTGCAAGAAGTGGTAGAAAAATCCGATGACTCTTCACACTTTTAAAACCACATTACAAGGTCTGGGGATTTAGCTCAGCAGCTGCCTTGCAAGCTCGAAGTTGTGAGTTCAATCCCCAGTACCAAAAAAAAGGAAATATTTAAAAGGAAATATTTAAAACAGTAAAAGGCACATTGCCAAGAATGATGGGATGGGTGTGTTCACAGTGAGGGGGAAGCCATGGAAGGGGAGTCATAGCAATGTATGTTTTACTGTAATATTTTTTTCACTTACTCCCCATGTTTTTTGAAGAACTCCCATAAACTACCAGCAAAGCTTCTCGAGCATTCTCAGCTCTTAGAAGGTAATTCACACTTGTGTGACTCAGAAGAGCTCACACTGCATAGACCAACCATGTCGAAGAGACCAGGTATAAATCTATGTCTGTGCTTGGCAGTCTCCTAGTGACTGTGGCTTAGTGGGGACCACTATTTCCTCTTCAGTCCATGGCGTCCGCAGGTTTTGACATGTTTCTTCACAAATGCCACCCATACAGAGTTTTCCCATTTCTGTCTCAAGTACTCTGGAGGAAAACACATGTTTGTTTCCAATGCCCCTGGAGCCCCCAAGGTAGACTCCACACATATCATGTAGGCCCTGTGTTCTGCTGGACCCTCCCAGCTGTCTGTCCTGTTCCATCAGAATCCACTTGCAGTGTCACCTGATGCCACACTGTTTAGAGTGAAACTCAATCTAGTGATACAAATAAAAGAGGGGTCAGAATAGACAGTGAATAAATATATATAAAAGGCCTAGCATCATAATCGCCCTGCCTTTAAACACACCTGCCAGTCTGAAGTTGTTTTTGAAGTACTCTCTCCTGAGTGTCTTCAGTGTGTTATTGGGGGTGCCTCAGTGTCCAGGCTGGAGGAAAAATACAATAAACAGAAATTAGTGAGACAGTCTAGTCAGAGATCGGAAAGCCGGAAGGCTGTAGGAATGCAAACAGTACACAACAGGCTCAAGAGGTTTCCGTTGGAATACTGGAAACTGGGCCAGAGGTCACAGATAGTTCATTCTGGCAAAGAGCCGGTCCGAGTTTTGTTCATATCCTGAGACTCTGTGTAAGGCCAACTGTAAAGATGATGAGCAAACTAATCTGGCAGAAGAAATTTCAAGGCACCCACCACACAGGATGTGGCATTCATGCTTCGGGATGCTTTAGTGAGATCCATAGTGAAAACCAGAAGTCAAAAGCAGATTTGAAAAGTTTGCAGTTTTACCACCAAGTTGGAGTCCAGAACAACATGATTGCTGAAAAACCAGCATTGAAAAGAAGACAAGTACTTTGCATCAAGACAATAGAAAACTTGGTGTGAAGGCATCTTAGAAATCAGCAAGCCCCCACCAAACATAGGCTTTAAGGTGTAAATGAGTAAATAACTTGAGGACACTGCTTTGAGAAGAGAGTCCCAGGAAGCCCGGCTCACTCAGGAGTGCCCAGGAAATCGTTTTCCAGGCCTGAGTCATCCAGATGTTCAGAGGATGCTGCAGCTATGCCCAAGGGAACCTGACTACTGTTCAGGCTTGCATTTGACCCTGGGATCATCGTTATGGTATTTTCAGGCATGTGGGATGCAAGATTTGTGGGGTCAGGGAGGCTTCCACTCAGATTTCAAAGGAAGGCAGAGGATCAAGCAATATACCCCTGCAAGGAAACTGCATGAAGCTGTGAGGGTGAAACTGGAGGTGCAGTAGAGACCCCAGAAAGTTGGAGATACTAGAAAATTGGAACATCTGCTGAAGAAAACCAGTGAGCAGAGACATCCCAAGTGAGAAGTCATGTGGGTTGCCAGGAGCAAGAGGTGGGACTGCTGAGCCCCCAGAAGCTCACATCTCCCCACATCATGCCTTTTGTCCTGGATGTGAAGCTATAAAACTTAATGTTTGTCCTACTGGATTATGGCCTCACTTTAGTCCTATTTCTGTTTCTCTCCCTCTGTCATGAGAATATTTACCTGTGCCATTGAATATTGGAAGTATTTTACTCCCTTTTGATTTTGCTGGGACTCAGAGCTTACAGTTTCCCTTGAGTCTTGGAACATACTCTGGGCTTGGACTTTTCTGCAATGTTAATACTGTTAAGACTTTGGCAAATCTTAGAGATGAACTAAATATATTTTACATAACGAGGCATTTGGAAGCCAGAAGTGGAATGTTACTGTTTATAACTAAAATATTCCCCAAATTCTCATGTGTTTGTAGGATGATTGGATCGTGGGGGTCCTATAGTCAGTCATCCATGGATTCATCTATGGATGAGTTCATAGCTGAATGTGTTATTAGAGATGGGGCCTGGTTGCAGGGGTGGGCCACTGGCGCATGATGTGGGGAAGGTATTCTTACCCTTGGCTCTTCCTTTCTCTCTCTGCTTCCAAGCTGGTATGAGGTTAGTAACATTTCTCATCATACCCTCCTCCCTTTATGATGTTTCCATTGTGGAGCTGCCAGCCATGAACTGAATTCCCCAGAACTGTGAACCAAATTAAACCTCTCTTTTTTTAAGTTCCTGGTGTCAGGTGTTTTGTCCCCGAAATGGGGAAACTGACTAATAGATTCATGATGTGTTGGTGCCAGAAACCAGCCTTTGCCCCAGCAGCCCAGGCTTAAAAGCTCTGCTGGATACATGTAATGACTTCTGACCTTGGTGGACGGAATCTCTAAGTATAAAGACGTTGGACAAGAATCACAAGGAATCACCGATTTGACTAAATAACAATGTTAAACACTCTAAGTCAAAAAATATTTTCTGGTTTAAAAACAAATAACAATAGAGGGTAATAACTGTGATAGCATTAAAAAAGACTTACAAAACTGTTCTTGGAACTTGATGAAAAAACATTAGTGATGCCAAAGACAGGAATCATAAAAGAAATTTTTCACAGATCTGATGTCATAGCTGTTCAAGTCTCTTCTTGTCAAAACATGCTTTAAATGGCTGAGGCAGGAGGGTTGCCAGTTCAAGCCCAGCCTGAGCAGTTTAGAAAGATCCTGTCTCAACATAAAATTGGACAAAAGGACTGGGGATGTAGCTCAGCAGTCTTTGAGTTCAATTCCTAGTACTGTGTGTGTGTGTGTGTGTGTGTGTGTGTGTGTGTGTGTAAGAGAAGAGACAAAAAATGGGAGAGAAGGTGGATAAAGTTGTTAACAAAAGTTTACCAACCTGATTGAAATATTTTTATAACAGAGATGCACTGAATTTATGTAAAATTCTTTTATGTGAAGAATACTTATTAACTATGTCAAAACTAAAGACAAGCAATTTGATGTAAATATGGGAAGAACTATGTAAGAATTTTCACTGCAAAAGAAATATAAAAATTGGCATAGGAAAATGTTCAACTTCATAAAATGATGAGAAATGCAAACTGGGGTACTAAGAAAATACATCTTGCTTTGTCAATTTGGCAAAGAAGACAAAAACCTGAGTCCTAATGTGGAACGAGTCATTCTCACACAGACATTCCCTACAAGCCCAGTACCTGGCACCAACTTTCTGGAAGGCAAGCTAGATGTATGTGTTCATGACTGCAAGATCGAGACCACATTTTCACCTGGTGCCACCACAAAGTTCAAAGTTCATAGAGAAGCCATGGGTATGCATGCCAATTTCTCTTTATAATAGCTAAATAATAAATCCCCCCAATACTGAATAATATTCAGTTTTACTGAAGTAAATAATAGTGTATATATATATAGCTTTTTATGTGAAGTAGTTTCACCTTGCAGTTTTTATACAACTTGATTTGTCATTTTGTTCTAACGATCCACCCTCAGAAAATAAACTGGGCAATTTATCCACAGCAGTAAGAAGCCGAGGGTCTATCATGTCTCACACAACAGAAGGGCTCGTTTTGACAGGATGAAACGTTCTTCTTCCACCTAACTGAGAACTCTACATGCACAGAAACATGTGAAGTAATAGTTCTCAGGAAAAAATTATAATTTTAGATATAGTATATTCAAATGTTTAGTGGGAAATGTCCACATAGAAAAAGGGAAGGAAATGCGTCAGCACATAGCAAGAGTCATCTCAGATATGGAGCGAAAATATTATACATTTTTGGTATTCGACTCTGTATTTCTAAATTCTGTATAGTAATCACTTATGTCACTGAAAAAAACAGAATCAAAGTACATTTTAAAAACTTAGCAATAATGATAATTTTTAAACGTTTATTTCATAAGACAGTGGATTTGGCCAAGTGTATGACCTGTCCTATCTCAAAGTAGCCTCCCTGCATCATGCTCTGAGTTCTTTATGCAGAAAGTGGCTCTCTAAGGGCAGTGGTCTCTCGGACAGCCAAGGAGTTCATTGCCCCAGTGTCCTCTTGCTCCCGGGCCTCCTGCTTGGTGCTGGCTGCCGCTGTGACCCTGCCCTGCACCCCACGAGCCAGCCCCAGGGCCAGTGGGGTCTGATGAGAGGTTCACTCCACCAGACTCCGGCTACCTTTGCTGACGTCCCTGTGTCTTCATGTCAGTGAGTGGTTTTCTGTATAGTTACAAGGGTTTTCCATTTTTCTATGATGTGTGTGTATTAATCTAATTAGAAGGTCTGATGACTATTTTTTGAAAAAGGAATATTCTTAGTAAGTTATTTACAGCTTGGATATACTATAGAATTAAAGATCCAAATAGGAAGTATTTGTAACCTTTTGTTTAATAAACTTCTCCAAGTGTTTCAGCCTGTCTTAGCTACTTTGTTGGGGATCAGACACAGTGCATAATGCTGACAACTCAGAGGAGAAGAGATTTCCTATGGCTGTGCTTCAGTCCATAGCTTCCCAGCTCTCTGGAAGGAAGGCCTGAGGAGGGGTCTGGCGGAGAACTGCTCACCTCATGGCAAACAGGAAGCAGAAATTAAGGGAGGTGTCGGTTGGGAGATGAACCCAACCAGACCACATCCATAGTGACGCCCCTCTTTTGCCCTACTTCCTGACAGCAAGTCAGCTATGAGCCCCTATAATCCAATTGCCCTCCAAAGGTCCTGCCTGGGATCACACGAGACTTTAAGAGACTATCTAGCTATAAACCAAAACACAGCCCAGCACCCACTAGCCTTGCAATATTGCAGAAGATATTATACCGCATTTTCTAAAGCCCAAATCAGTACTGAGGGCAACTCTAAGCAGCAGTGACACAGGGGTCATAGGTTTTAATACGAGTCACCAACACACAGATTCCTCTCTTATAAATGTCTTCTAAATGCACAAACTCACTCTCTAGTTCTCAATTTGGTAGGTTGATGGCGTGACACAAACGACAAATGATAGCCAGGGGCCAAATCAAGCCTTCTGTTACTTTTTATAAATAAAGTTTTATTAGTGGCAGAGTTAGGTCATTGCACAGATTGCTTCTGAGAATAGTTACTATATGGCCCTCTGCAGAAGAGACTTGCCAAACCCTGGCCTTGCAAGCCATGCCATTAAAAATGTTTGGGTTTGTAAAGTCAGCCTTCAAGGAGCCACATGGACTTCTTTCAACAATGCTGCTTCTGCTATTTCAACACTAAGCTTCCTTTAGAGAAGCACAGTGAATCCATTTGGATTGCTTCTGGCTGCAGGGAACAGAAAGCCCAGCTTTGACTAGTTGAATGTAGGGGCTGCTTTGTGCACACAGCTGGAGGTCTTCCCAGGATCTCCCTGGTGCCACCCCACCATTTCCATCTCTCTGTGCTTAGTAGAGAGACTCTAGTCCCTATCCCTGGGCCTCATGAGCACAAGATAGCTGCTGTGCTCACAGTTCCCACAGCCACCATCCAGCAGGAAAAAAGGAAAATTAAAGCAAACCAGAGGCAGAAAGCAATTTCTTTCTACTCTTCTTTCTAGAAGGTGCTACCCTCTCTGGAACATGAAGCTGCTTCC